AAATCATTGTAGTGGTTTTAGTAGTGCATTCATCTCATTTTTTTGTTTTGCAAGTCAACAGAATTTTCAGAACTCGTCATTTTCATCAAATATGATGGATGGTGAAGAAAGCCGTGGAGAATACTGTGACGATAATGCATCGCCTCCACCTCTTGATAAGTATGCATCTGCTGGATCGTCACCAATAGTTCCTGGTTCCAGATCGAGAGATTCAACATTGTGGACTCTACGTCTCAGGCGTCGTCCATTTCATACATCTTTGCTTACTGCTGCTTCTGAGGCTGGTCCTTCAATGAATAAAAGAAGTTACTCAGAAGCAGATTGGGCGAACAGACTAGCGGAAGTGCTCAGGGATTTGCATCCCAGTCAGCTAGTGCTGGCAAAGGAAACCATTCATTCAACGGTGGTCAGAATTCTTGCGCAAGAAATAACATCTGATATATCATGTCTTATGAATCTGATCGAAAATCAAGATCGCCGCGCCGCCGCTTTTGAAAGAGTTCTTAAGGATTTGAAGAAATTTAAAACTGATTGTACTTATGATTCCACCCTTTAACTTTTCTTTATTAATTAATTCACTAATCTTTTCTTTGTTTATAACTATTTCACAACCAGTGAGGCGCCGGTACTGTTAGATACTGCTCAAAAACAACGATAAAAATGAGCTAAACTAAAAGTATTTATTCGCCTTAATGTGTCATTATCAGCTAAATATCTCTTGATCAACCTGAAATGAATCGCTCTGAAATATCTACTTTGTAGTAACAGTAAAGGTTTTGAGCAGGGAAAGGAAAAGTTTTTAAGTACATATTAGCAGACACTACAGTGTACTAAAATGTATGTTGATGAACTTTCATTTGTCAAACACTGTTTGAAACTCTGATGGTAATGTACGGTTGCACCTTAGTAATTTCGATTAAAAATCGCAGAGCTATGTCGGTGATTTAGATATTTTTGTTTATGACGATATTTTTTCTGTCTCTTTAACCTTCTTCCGTCCTGAAGCACTGGTTGTTTTAGAATTATACAAACTGAAATTAGAGTTATACAAACTGAAAATAACTGTAGCATTTGTCTCTCTTGAATGTTATGTATTTTGCTTAAATTTTATCATAGTACTGACGGGATTTGCACAATTGTTCGTCAAAAATGTGATATGCGGTGACGAGGGTTTGTTGTCATTTCTGTTCTGTCTGTTCGTTTGTGTATTGATTGGACTTTTTTTACCGCATGTTAATTTTAGCTTTATCAGTTTGCTTCTATATAAAATATAATTTCAAATTTCACGAACTTTCTTGTTTGTTATAAATCCGTTTCCAATCGGCATTTTTTTTTATTCTTTATTATCAAGCAGATAATTTTATAATGTTTGGAGTAAGTTATGTGGGATTGCGTGTAATTTTTTTTTTTTTAAATTGAGCTGGTTAACATTTCGCGTATTATAGGTCCTTTGATATCTATTACCTTGATATCTCATTTCCTAATAGTAATATGCTTTTTGAAGGATGCATAGCAGGTTAGATGATCGCCGTTTTATAAGAGAAAATGGAATCGCATATGCTGTCATACCGATATTCCATCAAATCAAATATCGAAGTTATTGAACAAGGAGTAGAATTCACAGTACTGTTTAGGTCTCGTTGCATGAAGGCGTGGGTGGTAGGCTGTTAACAGTATCTTTAAAAGGGTTAATTTTACTTATAACAGTCGATCTTCCATTATAGTTACGTGGGAGATTGATTTTAATAGAAAAGGATATTACAAATGTCGATTTGTAGAATTTGTAGTATAGTTTTTGTCACGATACTTTAAAAAGTACAGTCAGACGTTTTTAAAGTGTACTTACAGCACTATCACATTAGTCTACTGTGTGATCGATCTATTTCCCGAAATTTCCAACACGAAATGTGATGGAGATGTCAGGCCCAGGTGATTTCGTAACGGATAATCTTGCGTCAGGTGGTGCGGTATGTGGGACAGCTGTAGCTCCAAGTGGACAAGAAACATCGAGTAGCGCTACTTCTGTTAAGGTTTTTAGATTTTTTTGTGTATTCAAATTTCATAGTGATAATTTTTGTTTGTAAGTGTTTTTGATATTACAAACGATTAATCTAGTGTTTGTCTAGAACTTCTAGTTCAGACCTTGCAGAAACCCAAGAAGGCATGTCGTGCCAGAACTGGTTATATGTTATTTCATGGTGAGGCTAGAAAACGCATCAGAGCAGCACATCCTGAATTGAATTTTGTTGAAGTGAGCAAACGTGTCGGCGAAGAGGTAAATTAAATTGTGGTGTATATTTTCATCATCATTATATCAACTTATTTCATAACATGCTGTGATCATTTCGTTAGTTGCCTATAGATATTTTGATAATTGATAAACAATTTTCAGTGGGCAAAAGTATCAGCTGAAGAAAAAAACAAATACAAATTACGTGCAGAACAAATTGCAAAGGAAGCAAAAGAGGATGACAGTCAAAAAATCATTTTGGTAGGTGTTTTTTTTTTTTTTTTTCTTACACCAGTGATGTAATTGTACTGTGCGATTGAACAGAGAAGCAAGTAATAAACAAAATGTGTGGTCTTTTTTTATTTTCAGCCGCCTCCAGGAAGGATTCTCGTTTATCAATGCATGTGGCAAAAATGTGATATCCAAGCGGATACATCAGATGCTCTTTATGAACATATCAAAACTACACACAATATGGAATACTTCTGTAAATAATTTATTTTATCAGTATATAGCAGTGATTAAATTTAAGGTAATCAGTTTAAGATGCTGGTAATCTAGCTAACGTTTAAGTACGCTATATCCTACATTCCATGACAAATTAGATATTTGCATCTTTGTTGGAGGCACTGCAGTAAATCCATTTGTTAAACGGTAAAATTCGTAAATTTAAACATAGATATAAGCAAAAGAATCTTGGAACAAAGTCAATTTTTACTATATATTTTTATCAAAAATTTTTTTAGCGCAGGGTGAAAAACGTTATGCTTGTTTATGGTCGACATGTTTCAGAAATAAGCGATATCCAAGGTGAGCCAATCTTAAGCTCTGATAAGATTAGGACTTGTACTGATTTTGTTTTGTTTTTTTGGTTTTTAGATAATTGATTTGATCATAACTGGTTCTTTTTCTGTACAATTATATTTAACTTGATGTTTTTATTATGAGTTTGTAATCATGGCATCAAAAATATACTGTATTAAATGATCTGATAATCTTGCTAATTTGGATTATGAAGAATTTAAACATTTTTAGATCGTTTTCACTGCTGCCTCATTTACAGCAGCATATTAAATACAAACATTTGCCAAGGTGTGCACGATTTATCACACCAGATAAGAAAAGCAAGTAAGCATTCAATAACCATTTATTTGTTTCTAATTTTTTATTTGACGAGAGCTCTAGAAGCAATTCTATTTGTATAACCAATATTCAGTAGAAGAACTTTGTGCTGTTATCGTAGCCATTTGATGTTTCATTATGAATTATTAATAAAGAAATGGATTGACGTTCTATTTCATAGGTAAATTTTATTGCATTTCAGGAACTTCTTCAGTTTGACATCATCTGCACCCACACCTACAACTGAATCTACGAGTGCAGTGCGATCATATGCACGAAAGACACATCCTTTGGTCACCCTCCACACACCATTTGTCTTGCCGTCTTCTCATGGGCAAATGCAAATAGCTCCAGCATTTATGATTCCACAACAGCAGCCCAGTAATTTTCCACAAGTTTGTTTTTTTTTTTTTCCTCTCATTTTTCTTATTGACTGTCACTTTCATCGCTTTTTCTTATAACTAAGATCGAAAAAAAAAAAAAAAAAAAAACAAAAAAGGCAGATATTACGCATACTAACCCAAAAGAAGAAAAAAAGAAAGAATTAATTCATTTTGATTCGGAACTGGTATAAAACTTATGCTTTTGCATGTATGTATGAACAATTGACATCGTGTAGATTACTGTGAAAGATTATTGGTTGTCACATTCTTTGGTTATTCAAGCTATTGTTTCATTTCATAGCACCTAAATTTTATATATCGGCTAACGTAAAATAAATTGCAGGTTAAATATAGTAAACCATTTAAAAGTTATTTTTTAGGATGGTTTTGCTTATGCATTAAGCGCCAATCCATCGGGACAATCGTTCGCTGATGGTAGTGTAGCTATAGCGATGTTGGAACATGAGGGAAACAAAGGTCCTACGAATACGGACTCATCAGCACTTCAGCAGGCATTTTACTCAGGACAGCAGTATTTGCCAAATTCGAATAGTGCTTGGACGATTCCTAACAAAGTTACTCGATCTCCGGAATTTAACAACGGATAATGGATTTTTTCGTTCGGATTGGTATGCGCAGTACTGTTTGAAAAATTTTCAAACATTGACTGTGACATGCTCAAGAAACTGCTTGGTTATTCATTTTTTTTTTCCATTATTCGACCATTGCAGCGCAGTTGGGAGTACTTAACGATTTTAGGATATCGTTTTTAATTTTGAGGCCAGATGCTATACCTTAGGCCAAATATTTCGTCTATTATATGATATGCATAACAGAAAATTTCCTACTGCGACATTGAATGCAGTTTTTGATTATGTCGTTTGGAGGGAAAAGCATTCGGTTAAAGTATCATTCTATTCTTGACCAGTGTTATTTGAGAGCTATTGTTGTAACAGAGCTATTCTCAGGCCTCTAGGCACGCGAAGTGCATTTCTTGAACTTCCAGCACATGCCTTTTGCGGTTTTGAAGCTGTTGCTATGAGCACTTTTATTATTTGTACTTTTATTCTTATTTTCTGCAAACTTAAAGTTTTTTTCTTTAAAATGATATTTTTTAATTTGCGGTGGCAAATGCAGAAGTAGCAAGGACATTCCGAAATATAAATTGTCAATTGTCAATTTTGTTTCCATGTCAGAACAGGTGTAGTTCTAAGAACATCAACGTTAGAGAGCAAATATTTGAGCAGGTTTAACAAATATGTCAAATGAGAAGTGCAGTGAACTGACAGGTGAATTGCGGTGTTTATTTTAGAGCACAAAATTAATAGCACTTATTGTTGTGATGAAACTGCTTATTAAGAATATTAAATATTAAAGATGTTAAACACCAGAAATGTTATTTAGTTTTTATATGATCGCATTTAAAGCCTTTTTACTTTTTTAAATTGTTTTCTGAAATCTGTTTTGTTTTTAAAATGAAAAATTTTTGTCCTGTTTTTAAAGCTGTGAAATTAGTTATTGTTTATTGTGAAGCGTAAATATAGCATTCCGTGTCGATTGCTTGCTTTGTGGATTACTTTTTCCTTTATTTTTATGCACATTAATTGACTTCAATTATCGCAGAAAATCACTTTATTTCTTTTTTTTTTTTTGTTTCAATTTTTAAGATTTGATTTTAATATTAGCTATTTATATTATTGCCTTTTTTGATATGATATGGGAGCATATGCTTAAATTTCGGTAATGCAGTTCGTTTCATTTCACTATTTACCACGAATATTTCATTTTCTTTTGAATTCAACATTAATCATACATCTCTTTTCGCTTAGATCATTTTCTCTTTTTATATTTTTGTAAGTTGAAACTACTGCATTTATCTTCAATAATAAGTCCCCTAATAGAATTGTTCTTTTCTGTCATATTTTTTTCAACAATTTATAGTGTCGTTTAGTATTATACAATATATTGTCTTATTCTTTGAATAATTGAGATAAAATTTTTCTAATTTAAATTTAACTTCTTTCTCTCTTTTTATTCCACTTTGGTATCATTAAGTTCTGGATGAGATAATTTTTTGAACACTTTTCGTGTCTTCTTCATCTTCTCGATTCCTGTATGTATGTTTTTTTTTTTTTTTTTTTTTTTTTTTTTGTTGTGAAAAATACAGGGATCACACGCATTTCTTGATAATTTGTTTACATTATGTTATATTTTTTCACATCATTTATATATTCATGATCAATTATTACTAATGTGTTATAATTGTTATGATATATATCCATTCATTTGCTTGAGAAATTGAATATTCTACAATCCAATTGATTATTATTATTATTATTATTACTATTATTATTGGGTGTTGACTTATAATTTGTAATTTAGTAAGGTATCTTCATTCTAAGATATCATTGACAAAAAGGAGACCAAAGAAAGAAGCGGGAAATTAAAGAAGCGGTCTACAATCTCATTACTCTATTATAGATTCCAAAAAATGTTCAAAGTCATACCCAAAGTTAAACCTAACAATTATTATGACATTGTTCTTCCTACATCAAATCGTTTCTTACTGCTGTTGTTTTACAACTATTATTCGGCCATGTTAACAAATTTGTGTGTGTTTTTTTTTTCCTTTTTTTTTTTTTTCCATAAAATGTATTTTTTTTTTCTCAGTCTTAATGTGTGAACAATTTACCAAAATGTTAGTTATATGCAATCCTATCAAGTTACTGTTACAAATTATAGGGTTTTTTTTTTTTAAAATTGAATACTGTTCAAATAAAATAAGTTAGCTAAGTAAAATTGAGCTAGAGATAGAAGATGAGGTAAATTTTAATTATATTATATTTATTATTTGATTATATGTAAGAATTATTTGTGATGATGAGTAACATTAAACAAGAATAATTTTGATTTTTTTTATAATGTGATGGATTGTATGTGGGAGTTAATATTTTCTAGATTAGATTAGATATGAGTAAAATTTTAATTTGGAATACTAACCCGGGACACACACACTGAAAGATATCATTTCATTAAAGGTTAAAATGGATGTGGTATTATTTTACTTTTACTAATAAGTATACAATAATCTATCATTTGTAGATATTCGAATTAAGTATTCGATTTTATGATAAAAATTTAAATTTACAGTGAATTATTTCTCTCCTCTCAGCTATTACATATAAATGGTCTGGCTATTATGGAAAAAAAAAAAAAGGCGCAATTCACTCTGTTGATAAGATTATTTTCAAAAACTGATTTCGGTTAAATTATAAATTTTGGCTGAAATAATTTCTTGGGATTAATCTAAAACAGAAACAATTAATATGTTTTATTTATTGGTGATGTATGATTTATTGAGGGAAAGAGTAAATTGTATTTATTTCGTCGATAGTATGGATATCATGGCAGCTGATGAAATTAAAATTACTGATGATACGAAAATTTGTAATGATTTGAAAGGTTTTAAATTTAAAGAAATACTTGGCGAAGATGCTACCCGTAAGGTAAGAATTTTTCTGTAACAGTTTTTAATAGGTAAAATGTTGTGTAAAATTAAACAATCATCAAACTATTATCGATTTGAAAGGAATGATTAATGTGAAGTGTTGTTTCAATATATTAAATTTTCTTCCAAAATTATTGTTAAATCGAGTAAATCTTAAAATGCTAACCTAAGTAACTTTCACAAATAATTTTAGCAATTGAAATTTGTAAAATTGCTGTTTAGCTTTATCGTAAATTTAAATTAATGAGAAAAAAAAATCTTAAAATTTATAAAAACTTTGCAAATTTTTCTTTTTGAACTTTCTTTTGTTAAAGTTAATTTTTTTTTTTTTTTTTTTTTAAGATAACTTTTGTGCTACTCGATGTGAATAATTGTAATGATCAAGCTGTTTTAATTGTGGAAAAAACTCCTTTTCCTATGGATGAACAAGATTGGAATACCATTGTATCGCAATGTTCACTGGAAACATTATCAATGAATGATATATATTCAAATCATATTTTATTTCCACCAGAGAAATTTTCTGGTAACAATCTTTACTTTCTTCATATTTTCTATTATTTGATCATTTTCTTCGAGATTATCTAAATTCATATTAATCGTTGTGTGGGATACCAAACAAGACAATTTTTCATAGAAGTTGTGTATTACTGATTTTTAGAACTACTATTTGATACTAATTTTGCTTTTGCTTTTTTTTTTTTGAGCAAAATATAGTTCTTAAATGAGTTATAATTAATGAGTTGTAATTTTTTTTTTCTTTTGGTTTGGTATTAATATAGCGATAGAGCTTTCTAAGATAATGAGATATTAAAAAGTATATATAAGGGATCAAGACGACGTTAATAAATCCATGTACCGAAAAGCATATTGCAAAATATCGAGATCAGAAACGATATGTCATCTATGAAACACCGGACGATTACAAGACCATCACTTTACCTTATCTGGAAGAACAGCAATTCACAATGAAGGTGTCATTTTAATAAAAAAAAAATTTACAATTTTTTAATTCTAACTTTTCTAATTGTTAGTAATTCAAATAACTTTTTGTTATGAATAGATGGTGCTATTTAGTTTGTCTCTAATTTTTATTTTTAGTGGATTTTTAATATGCTGGAGCATAAAGCCGAAATGGATCGTATTATTTTTGAAGATGCAGATCCAGAGAATGGTTTTATACTTGCTCCAGATCTTAAATGGGATGGCAAGAATTTAGCTAATCTTTATGTGTTAGCAATTATCAGGCGGAAAGGAATCAAATCCATTCGGTGATTTAAATATTTTCTTCTCTTCTAAACTGCTCATTTGAAAAATATTAACATTTTAAACACCGGAAGAATGTGGATCGATGATGGTTAAATCATTTTAGTGAGCAATGAATGGAACCATAGTTGATATTGTGAATTAAAGAGAAAATTCTTTAGATTAAAAACTTTTTAAATCAAAGATATTTCTCCTTGAGTGCTTCCTTCTTTCTTTTTTAAATTTTGAAAAATTGATTATTTTACAGTCTTTGATTTTTAACAAGTTAGAAATTTTCTGTTTTCAATTTGAAAATTCCATTGCTTTTAAGGAAGCACTGTTGTTGACAATATGTTTTTCTACTTTTATTGTTACTGAAATTCATTGCATTTATTCCTTTCAGGGATTTAACAAGCAATGACCTTCCGCTGCTAGAGAATATTTCAAAAAAAAGTTATATAGCAATTAAAGAAAAATATGGAATTGATAAACACCAGGTAATTTCTAGTTGTCAGTTCATAATCAGTTATTAATTTTCAGTTTACGTATTTTTTATCCTGTATGAGACATTATAATGATAATGCTTATCTGATAAGAAATGTTATGATGTAGAATTAGTTCTAATATGACAGTTAAGATTCCAGTACAGTACTGTGAAATTTTGAGCTCTGATTCGGTAGAAATTTTTATGGATTTTAAAATTCTGACAGAACTCGATTACAATGTAATAAGATTTTTCAAACGAATTTAAGTTTTATAAGTTCCAGAAGATGATAACTTTTTGTTATGCATAAGAGAGAAATGAAATTTGAATGTTGTAGAATGTTTTATGACTGCTATAAGACATTTTATTTGAAAAATCGAATTAAAAAAAAAAAAAAATGAAACATCAGAATGGTTTCTAGCAGGTTCATCTTTTCGTGCAATTCTAAAATGCTTACTAGAATGTTTTTTTAGTTGTAACAGAAGAGCAATCCATCTTATTTTATTCTTTTCTTTAGATTCGAGCTTATTTTCATTATCAACCAACATTCTATCATTTACATGTTCATTTCATTCATGTTTCATACGATGCACCGGCTAGTTCTGTTGCCATGGTTTGCTTTTTCAATTTTGATTTCCACTGTTAATTCGATTTTAATGTTTAGGTTAAGTAGGAAAAGCTCAAAAAAAAAAAAAAAAAGAATACAGAATAAAACGTAGAGTTGGAAAAGTTCAAAAATTTTGAAATATCAAATACAAAACTTTTCAATACTTTTCATAAAGAAAATATTGTCTAAATCCAAGTATATTTGCTTTAAAGACAGCCTTGCAAACTGATAACGCAGTTCTTTTTTTTTTTTTCTTATTGATAAGATAAAACTGTAGTACAATTTTAGATAAATTCTTGACATCATTTGTATAATGCATTTCTTTACTGTTCGTTTTGTTCTTCTTATATTTTTAAAATATGGAAAAATTAGATCGTTATGATAATCCTCTTTGATAATTGATTGATATTTCTTATGTTTTTGTTTTTAAGGCTCATCTTCTGGAGGATGTAATTAACAATATAAAATTGGTTCCTGATTACTATCAGCGTTCTACGCTAACTTTTACTATGAAAGAGAATAACTCACTTTTGAAATCATATCGCGATACATATCAATGGTAACATCATGGTATTCTTGTTTGCTGCAGAAATTTTAATTTTTCAATTTTTGTTCATCCATTTGAATTTGAAGTTTTCAATCATAACAATTATCACTTTGTCATTTGTTCCTCCTAATTCAGTATTGTTGTTGCAATGTTTAATCTGCTTATTTAAAAAAAAAGAAAGAAAATGATGTAGAAATCGCTTTGTTGTCTGTACATAACGATTTCAGTTTAAATTAAAAGTCTATTCTGAAGATTTTTACTCTTTCTCATTTAATATTATCAATGAATGCTTTAAGAATGAAATCTCTTTATTCTATTGTTTTTTGTTCTTTTTTTTTTCCACTTAATGATATCGATTGCATAATTACTGTATATTTAACTAAGAAATTAAATGCTTTACAGAAAGAATTCCAAAATATTATTACTTGTTTGCTGTTTTTTTTTTTTTGCAATAAATCAATATATTGATATTTGATTTACGTGTTTCTTCGTATACCTGTGAAAATTTTTGTTGTTTTTTTATTTTTCTTCTTCAGCGATATTTATCATTCATGATAAAATTTTAGCCTGTGATTAAATTGATTTTTGTATCAATTGTTTGATCTATGTTTACTTTAATTTTTACTTTTTGATACGAGGATATTTTTCATTTACTCATAAACTTATCGACAACGAAATATGTAATAATTTCCAGTTATTTGCATAATTAATGAACAACTATAATATAATTGTTATTCTTTTCTTTTTTTTTTTTTTAGAAATATATGCTATTGTTCTGCCCAGAGTGTGGTTCATCTTTGCAAATTGAAGAGGGTTCCAATTGCTATCAATTCACTTGTCATAATTGTCCATATGTACAACCAATTACAAAGCTTGTAAGTGTTAATTATCTTTAGGATACTTTTCAAAAAATCCTCAAAATTTTAGCTTCCTCTTTATTATGATCATTATTTAGACTTTTTAATGAATGAGCATTTCAAATGTGATTTCCTTATTCGTCTAAGTAAAGTAATTCGAATTTAATATTATTTTCACTATTCTTATATTCGACATATAATTTATTTTTTCATTTACTTTATCCTATTAGATTTATTTCTTCTTTTGAAAACAATGAAATTCTGATTAGGTATTCTTTCTTGAGTTTTTTTTTTTTTGCAAAAAACAAAAACAAAAAAACTTTTTTTACAAAAAATTGAAAATATTATAGATAAGAAGTCGACACTATCCAAAGTTAAAAGATTTGGATGAAGTGCTTGGTGGTCCTGGTGCATGGGAGAATGCACAAATTACAAATGGTTAATTTTTAGAAATTTTTAAAAATGACATTTTGAATGATATGATATTTTTTATCATCTTTTTTTTTTTTTTTTATATCTTTCTGTTAACAGAACGTTGTCCTCGTTGTGCTGGTGATCGAGCATATTTTATGCAATTGCAAACACGTAGTGCTGATGAACCAATGACTATTTTTTATCGTTGTGCCAATTCAGAGTGTGCGCATCGTTGGAAAGAATAATCAATAAACAGGTACATTGAAAAATAATCAATAAATAGGTATATTGAAAAATAATCAATAAATAGGTACATTGAAAAATAATCAATAAATAGGTATATTGAAAAATAATCAATAAATAGGTGAAAAATAATCAATAAATAGGTATTGAAAATAATCAATAAATAGGTATATTGAAAAATAATCAATAAATAGGTACATTGAAAAATAATCAATAAATAGGTATATTGAAAAATAATCAATAAATATACATTGAAAAATAATCAATAAATAGGTACATTGAAAAATAATCAATAAATAGGTACATTGAAAAATAATCAATAAATAGGTATATTGAAAAATAATCAATAAATAGGTACATTGAAAAATAATCAATAAATAGGTACATTGAAAAATAATCAATAAATAGGTACATTGAAAAATAATCAATAAATAGGTACATTGAAAACTAATCAATAAATAGGTATATTGAAAAATAATCAATAAATAGGTACATTGAAAAGTAATCAATAAATAGGTACATTGAAAACTAATCAATAAATAGGTATATTGAAAAATAATCAATAAAGGTATATTGAAAAATAATCAATAAATAGGTACATTGAAAAATAATCAATAAATAGGTACATTGAAAAATAATCAATAAATAGGTACATTGAAAAATAATCAATAAATAGGTACATTGAAAACTAATCAATAAATAGGTACATTGAAAACTAATCAATAAATAGGTACATTGAAAAATAATCAATAAATAGGTACATTGAAAAATAATCAATAAATAGGTATATTGAAAAATAATCAATAAATAGGTACATTGAAAAATAATCAATAAATAGGTATATTGAAAAATAATCAATAAATAGGTATATTGAAAAATAATCAATAAATAGGTATATTGAAAAATAATCAATAAATAGGTACATTGAAAACTAATCAATAAATAGGTACATGAAAACTAATCAATAAATAGGTACATTGAAAACTAATCAATAAATAGGTACATTGAAAACTAATCAATAAATAGGTACATTGAAAAATAATAAATAGGTACACTGAAAAATAATCAATAAATAGGTACACTGAAAAATAATCAATAAATAGGTAATCAATAAATGAAAACTAATCAATAAATAGGTACATTGAAAACTAATCAATAAATAGGTACATTGAAAACTAATCAATAAATAGGTACATTGAAAACTAATCAATAAATAGGTACATTGAAAAATAATCAATAAATGGGTACATTGAAAACTAATCAATAAATGGGTACATTGAAAAAAAATATTGTACATTTATTGTATTATTAAATTTATTGTTATGAAAATTCATTCAATATGTAAAATAAATGGAACATTACATGAAGTCTTTTTTTTTTTACTGAAGTTTATATGAGATTTTAACATGAAATATAATATAATATATTATATTATATACACTATGGTACACTTAAGTCATACAAATTATACTCAACAGATTATTCAATAATGAAAAAAAAAGTTGTATTAAAAATATTGTCGTAAATTAGTAGATCATATTGTTTTTGGTGGATTAAAATAGTGTTTAAAGGATGTTCTAAACTGTTTTGGTACAAAAAAAGTCATCTTAAATTTTTTGTTTCTGTTATTTTTTCTTTTTTTTTTTTGAATTTGAATTCATAAAAAAAGAAGCTAAAGTAAGATAAGTTTACTTATGCTGAAAATATTTTAACTTGCAAAAGCTGTATTAAATAAAATATACAATTCTTTTTTCTAAAATTGATTGTGAGAAAAGTGTAATTCATTTCAGGATATGATTCTGCTATCATTTCTCTCATTTGGATTTATATTGTTGCAATTTCTAATCTTTTGTGGAATTTGGATTGTTTTTATTATGGGTGTATTTATTGTTGTACGTCTCATATTATCCAATCATTTATGTTCAATTGCTTGTAATGTGATTGCATTTGCTATTTCTAGGTTAGTTGAAATTTCATTTTCTTGTTTTTTGCTAATAATGTTATTTTTTATAGATTACTGGAATACTCAAAAAAAATGATTTTTTTAGCTAACATAATTAGTATACAATTTCTTTTTTTCCTTTTTTATTTTCTCTCACAAAAAAAGAAAAAGAAAAAATATTTGTAGTTCACTCATCTTCCAACTTATCACACTTTATGGCAAAAGTATAGCAAATCGAAAAATGATTCTAGATAGAGGCTTACCAATGGATTGTATGGTAAATTTTATTTTTGATTGAGAATTGATAAAGTTGAAAACATTGAAGAAATTCTTTCACATATGTTTTGTTCTGATTTTAATTTAATATTTTAGTAGAAATAATTCTTGTTTGATAGGCATGAAATTATTTTATTTATCTTTTGATCTATTCTTTATATAGAATGGAATTTCAGATTACTAAACTAGTCTTTTGTGACAAAGTTTTGTCATCAATCTTTTTTCAATAAAATGGTATGAAACATTTGTTTACTTATTATTATTATTTTTTTTTCAAGGGTTTCCTCTGGTTCATTGGTCCATTGTCGTCACATTCGTGTTCTGAATACTATGAAGCTTTACAAAGCAATATTTTTTGGCAATTGAATGTTGTGTATGTTTCTGGAACATTACTTAAAGATACACTAATTTTGATCACATCAATGGTAAAATTTTATTACTCTATTACAACATTTTTTGTTATTATTACAGCATTTCTTATATGTAAAATATTATCGAATATTTTAAGATAACACTATTAAATCATTGTTAGAATTATTAGAGAAGTTTTTTTAGGGAGGAATTGATCTCATTATAATGGAGGTATAGTTTTAAGAGTAGCGTACATTTAATTGCACTGTGATCGATTATGATTTAGGGAAGATAAAGATGATTAAGACAGTTAATAAATTGATAAGTAATACGTAATTGTTTGTAAAGTAAGGAATTGTTAAGTGGATCATTAGATTTAAACAGTGATATGTTTGTCTTGTAAATAAGCAAAAAATGCATAACTTATCATCGCAACTGATTATTTTATTGTTTTAAAAAGTAGATTTCATTTGCAGTTTGGTGGAGCACTTGGTGAATTTCTGCAATCATTTATTAGTAAATTTCATTGGCTGCTTCATATACCTGTATTTGTTGTAATTTCACTTTGTATTTTATTGAGTCTTCTTGCTTCATTTGGTTATCGTTTTAATTTCTTCTATGGATTAATTCGAACTGATTTCGACAAGCAGCAAAGGTATGTTTTTTTTTTTTGCTTCTAGTATACCTTGAATAATTTGATTATTCAACACAATGTTGATTAATCTTTTATTCACTTGATAATGTTTGCTATGTAATTATTATATCCGTTAATTATTCATCTATTGTATTATTAACAAGAAATTACATTGATGTTACCATCAAAATACTTTAGCAGAAACTTACTTGAAGAAAAAAAAAAAGGAAATATATAAAAGTTATTATGTTATCCTAGTTGTTCAATTGAGTTATTTCTTCACTTGATAATATCAGATCCAATTAACCAACTGTTTACAGATGTGCTGAAAGAGTACCATTTGATGGCAGTACTAAGCAGTTATCGAATAAAAAATTTGTTGAATGCAAAACAGACGAAATGAAATCATTAATGCTAATTAATGAACTTTATCAGAAAGCACATGATTATATCTCTAAGTAAATAACTGAGAGTGTTTGTGGTTGTACTTCGATAATTCAGATATTATTTAAGCATCAAACATGTCACTATTTGATCTTTATGTATTGGACTTTATTGTATATGCAATTAGAGTAATTTTTTACAACTATTATCTTTTTCATAAATGTTGTAATCTTTTAACTTTTATCAAATATCTGGACTTGAATCTTTTTAATTTTGATTCGTTTAACGTGAATTTGATAATGCTTGCGTCAAGTTTTGTATGCCATCTTGTTTACTTAACATTGTTCATCTTTAGTTATCTTACTACCACTTATCTATAAAAAATGAATGAAATAACTATTACTTCTGATAAAATGACAAAGATGAAACTGTGATCTCAATTAGGTAATTTCGATAAAGTAATCATACTTCGAAGAAATTAACGTGAAACTTACTAATTGCTGGCTTAGATATGTTGAAAAATAATTGAACAAAATTCAAAACTTTTGAATTTGTCAAGATATTTTTCTCTTTGGATCCTTTTTTTTTTTTTTGTTAACTTATCAAGTGGTTATAAAGTTGTTAAATGATAAAATTGTCTGTATTGCTATTATTCTATCGAAAATAGTTATTTCATCTCCACAATTAATTCAATCGTTAAATTATTTATTTTTTATCTCCTCGTTTTGTGTAAGTAAACAGTGTATTATTAAATTTATTCTCCTTATATGCAATATATAATAAAAGCTAATAATAATTATGAAGAATTCACAAACATCCTTTTCCTGATTTAAGCATATGCCTTGGGTACTGTTTGTCTAAGAAAACTCAACAACAATTATTATTTACTCGAAAACTATTACTTACTCAAAAACTCTTATTTACTCTTATATCACATTAATCGTACTCGAACTCCTGCCAACAGCTTTTTTTTTTTTTGTTATTATTATTTTAACAAGTCCGAAAAAAAGTCTTGAAAAGTTCTTCCACTTCTCATTTTTTCATAAAATATCCCCTCTAAATGATATCACAAAAAAAAGAAGTATTTCAGGTCTTTGATAATGGCTGAAAAAAAAATTGTCAACTAGCTACTGTCATCTTATCATCATCTTTTATAGCATTAAATTTTTAGGTATAGCAGAAAAGACTTTTGAGTGCACTTTTTTGATTACTTCGTTCTGTTTTTTTGGATTTGTGATAATTATTCAGAAATTAATATTACTAATTTCCATTCATAATATATCTTTAAAATTGCAATAAATTAAGAGTGTAAAAATTTACCTGTTGGATTAACCATTAAAATTTAATTTAAAAAAATAAACATTATTTCATTCTATTTTTTGCAATTATAATAATTATTCAGGAATCATTATTGCTAATTTCCATTCATAATATATATTTAAAATTGCAATAAATTAAGAGTGTAAAAATTTACCTATTGAAAAAAAAAAATTGAAATTTAATTTTAAAATTATTTATTTTTTGAATTGATTGAATTAATATTATTTCATATACTTTTATTATATCACATACTATAGTAATTAATATTTTTAATACTTTAAATAATTTATTCATAAAAATATCCCTCAAATAGATATCACACACAAAAAAAAAAAAGAGAAGAAAAGTATACGTAATACATTCGAATATACATAAAAGTAAAACGCACAAAACGGTATTACACGTCAAGTAAGACACGTCATTTATTTAAATCAACCAATCATCGTACAGCACGTCCGGTAACGCCCACCAATGATTTTATTTATAAACGCAACGCGTATCTCCGCCTCCTCCTTATAGGAGTTATGCTGACAGGAATGGTTGGTTTGTTATTTGCTATGAGTAGTACTAGTAGTAGTAGTAGTAATACTTGAAGTATGACACGTTTTACGTAGATTACGTAGGTTATTTAGTTTACGTGTTTATTTTTTTTATAAAGTTTTACACTGTTTTGATTATATTTCCTGTTATATTTCTTGCTATTCATTTTTAACTAAAATTATTGTAATTTTTTTTATAATTTTAATGATTTTAGAAATTATTGTTATAAAGTATATCACGTGCTACTAGTTTACGTGTTAGTAAAATTTACACTGTTATAGAAAAATCCTTCCCTTTTTTTTTTTTTTTTTTGGTTAATTTGTCTTGAAAGTTTTGTTTTTTTTTTCCTTTTTTGATTATGACTAAGATGATTATGATAAATATTTATAGCAGTGTTGATTATGAATTAAATGATATGGTGATAGTGATTAGATCATGATTGATATATGTATTGTGATGATTATTATGACACTAAATGATATAGTGATGATTTCTTATGTTTGATAACATTTTGCTAACTTGAATAGTATAAGTTGAACTCATTATGATATGGAATGATAATTTTTAAAAATGTTTTTTTTTTTCCATTTAAACATTTTCTTCCGTATATACTTGCGATTTAAAAGCAAATTTAGTATCTAATTATTCAATTGATCGATGAATTAATGTTTCAGATTATGAAGACGTTACCGTTATTTCTTACTGTGGCACTTCTGGTCGTAGATGTTTTCTCACGACAAGGAGAGGATGGTAAGAAAGATGATGTACATGGTTCGGACGATGAAAAAAGTGCGAAATATGGAACAATCATTGGAATCGATCTTGGCACTACATATAGGTTAATCACATATTCTCATTCAAATCAAGTTAATAGAGGAGAAATACAGAGCCTTTTGTATAATTCATGCAGTCCTTAACTGATTCACTGTAGTGTAACAAGTAGAGGAAGAGCAAAAATAATTTGAATAATTTAGGCTAGTGTTCTTTTTTTTTCTTTTTTTTAAAATTTAGGCTACAAGATATTTTCAAAATCCGTGATATCGTAACCTTAGTCTTGCATACAACGACGATTTAAGGTGATATTAATGGTTATGAAATTAGTGTAAACTAGCTAAGTTGTGATGGTTTAGTAATTCAAAGAAACGTAAAGAATTTAAGTAGTCCAAAACTGAATATTCTGCAGTTGTGTTGGAGTCTATAAAAATGGACGAGTGGAAATTATTGCAAATGAACAGGGTAATCGGATCACTCCGTCATACGTAGCATTCACTGGTGAAAGCGGTGAGCGTCTTATTGGTGATGCAGCCAAAAATCAGTTAACAACAAATCCGGAAAATACTGTTTTTGATGTTAAACGTCTGATTGGCCGAGAGTACAAGGATTCAACTGTACAACAAGATATCAAACATTGGCCTTTTGCTGTGAGTTTTATTTATTGATTTAAGGATTTGCAGAGAAAAAAAAATTATAAGTGTGACTCAGTACTAAAATCTGAATTTTTTTTTCAGGTTATGGATAAAGCGAACAAACCAATGGTACGAGTGGCAGTTGGCAAAACCGAAAAAACCTTCGCACCGGAGGAGATTTCAGCAATGGTTCTTGGCAAAATGAAGGAGATCGCAGAAGCATATCTAGGAAAGGAAGTAAAACATGCAGTTGTTACGGTACCTGCTTACTTTAATGATGCACAACGTCAAGCTACCAAAGATGCAGGTACTATTGCCGGCCTTAATGTTGTTCGTATCATCAATGAACCTACAGCTGCCGCTATTGCATATGGATTGGATAAGAAGGAAGGCAAGTTTTGTGTGACATTTCTTTTAGGTCACTGTATTATTGATCTGTTTGGAACGTCTATTTGTAGTGACGTTTTGCTCTTCAAAAATATCTCAAAAATGTTGGTGAATTGAATTTCTGGGTTATCTATTATTCATCATATTGAAATATTGGCAATTTGTGTGGTCCCACTTGAACTGAATAAAGTTTGGAAGTTTCTGGGATTTATCCTTTACAAATATGGGATTTAGAGATGTTAGTATGTAAGAGAGAATTATTTCAGGTGAACGCAATATTCTTGTTTTCGATCTTGGTGGTGGTACATTTGATGTGTCGATGTTGACAATTGATAATGGTGTTTTCGAAGTGTTGGCTACTAATGGTGATACTCATTTGGGTGGTGAAGATTTTGACCAGCGAGTTATGGAACATTTCATTAAAGTGTTCAAGAAAAAGACTGGCAAGGATTTACGGAAAGATACTCGTGCTGTGCAGAAATTACGACGTGAAGTAGAAAAGGCTAAACGAGCATTGTCTACACAGCATCAAGTACGGCTAGAAATCGAATCGTTGTATGACAACGAAGATTTCTCTGAAACATTAACAAGAGCTAAATTTGAGTCATTGAATATGGATTTGTTCCGTTCAACATTAAAACCAGTGCAGAAGGTTAGTTTTTATTGAGAATTAATTTTGTATTTGCTTCTAGATATTTGCATGGTTTACTTTCATATCTTCTATGCCATTTAAAATATGTTTCACTTAAAACGCTTGATAATATCTTTTCTAGGTTTTGGAAGATTCTGATATCCAGAAAAAAGATGTTGATGAAATTGTTCTTGTTGGTGGTTCTACACGTATTCCTAAAGTGCAGGAACTTCTTAGAGAGTTCTTTAATGGAAAGGTAAAACTTTTTTGTATATTCATTTCTGAACAAAAATTAAACGATGCTATTTTCAAAGTTTTATATTGAGATTTTAGATGTGATGTTGATTTATTAGTATACATATGGTGGATTATAGGAACCATCGCGTGGTATTAATCCAGATGAAGCTGTGGCATATGGTGCAGCAGTTCAGGCTGGTGTTATTTCGGGTGAAGAAAGTACTGGTGACATTGTATTGTTGGATGTGAATCCTTTAACCCTTGGTATTGAAACAATTGGTGGTGTTATGACCAAACTCATTCAAAGGAACACTGTTATTCCTACCAAGAAGAGTCAGATTTTCTCTACAGCAGCTGATAACCAGCCAACAGTCACTATTCAGGTTTGCTTTAGCAGTTTGATATAGTTTTTTCTTAGAAAACTGGAAGCACCTCATGTGTAACAGCTCATATAAATAAATGTATGACGACAGATGAAGTTTATTAGAAAATGATGCCTGCATATACTGAAATTCATTAATTTGATCGATGTGTCAATGTTTCAGGTTTATGAAGGT